TGTATCATTTTACTCTGATACATCAACATATTTATTACCGAATGCAAAATAGGGCTAGAAAGCGAGTAGAAAGCGAGAGTTAGTGAGTGTGTGTGTCACAAAATATCTATAAGTCACTTAGTTTATAAGTCTCCGGTGTTAACACAGTATCGTTGTATCTTGGAGAAATTGTGCAATGTGCAAATGAAAAACAGCTCAATTAATTGTTTTAAAGGATTTTCTGTAAATTACTTAACTTCTGTATTATTGTCATATTACTACCCCTCGAATTTCTTTTGAATGTGATTGTTGCGTTACAGATTGTATCCATGAACGATATTGCATGGAATTCAAATAGCGGATTAAGTCAGCTAATTTCAGCGTGAAATCTCAGCAAGCTGGTGATACAAAACTATGATGCATTAAAATCGTACACTCCATTTCGGCACACACGTATATATATATATATATAATTGTATCGTCACGACAGATGAGATGAACTCGGCTTAAACATGTTTGGTTTAACCTTTCTACAAACTGAACGACGCAGGAGTCAACTGAGTTTGAAATTCTATTTTTTCTTTTATCACGCCACTCATTTTTACTTTCTAATGGTTCATCTTTTAATGCCACACATGTTCCCGCCAAAATATCGTTGTAAATAAAAACATTTTCATGTATATTTCTAAAACACCTTTGTTAAATTCAAAAAGTGGCAAGCAAAAGCTGACAGTGCGTTTAAATAAAAACACGCTCTGACTAATCGGAATGGCGTATTCAGGCAGGTGATAATATAATATCATACTTTAAACACTGTACGGATTATGAAAAATCTCAGAATAGATAAACCCCCAAAGCTGTGATAGTGGTTGGTAAAAAATCCGTAAAAAGGTTCTGCCGATGAGTTCCGAAACGTTTCGAGCTATTCCGATGTTAATATTTAATGTTCGAAATTCAACACAATAATTCGGTTTGGATGAATTATTGACAGTATTTCGCTTAAATCACTGCGTGTTAAATCTTTTTCGTAATTCCTAAATCAGTCTTATTCACGAGTAGTGAATTAAGCAGAATCTACGCTCAAACTTCGACATATGTATTCAAACCAACGTTTTAACAATACTGACACTTCGTCAGATAAAAGCTAGCCTTGCTGAAGTTGTATATTATAATAAATTACGTTTTGGCATTGGTTATGAGTATATTTACTTCTACTCACAGATTTTTTAGGTTAGCTAGAGCTATAGTTGGACTAGTAATTCTAATATTCTGTACACTTAATAATGAATCGCTAATCATTTATTATTATTATTATTATTATTATTATTATTATTATTATTATTATTATTATTATTATTATTATTGCTATTTAATACTGATAAGTTTCATTTTAGGCATAGTAATATTTCAATACACATACTACAATTGCAATTAGCTGACATAAATTCAAAATAAGTGTAATTCACACTGATAATGTTGTGAAGTATATGCCAATTTGACATACAAATGGTTTCATTTTTACTTAGCGTACTGTATTACAGATCAACAATGAATTAATTATGGCTGTACTACATACGGACAGCAGTGTCTCGTAATTGTACAACGTGATCCCAGGGAACGGGAGTATACCCTTTACATACTGCATACACACGGAAGCATGTGATACGAGGGGCATTACAAACACACTATGTGTTATAGATGCAGAGCTGTGGTCGCCGCCTACAGCGTAAATAAACAGGGTTGTTTGTATGCGTTATCTCAAACGCGAACACCTCCTTTAAACTTGTTAATATTACATGATCTCATGAATCCATGTGAATGTTATTGTAATAATATAACAGCGCCAACAGCGGCGGCGTATGCTCATTTGCAGATATTTCCTGTTTCTGCGTATCAGCGTACAATATGCTACCTGTAACGAATACATTAGTTAGTGTTATATACAAAATGCCTATCAAGTGTCATATTAGTGCAGCTAACAGATGTGAACTATTTCATAGTCACATGGCAGGATTATTAATCATCCATCTCATTATAATATATAACGATGACGTGCAACTGCGATTCCATAGCCTACTACTGTCGTGGACGAGTACTCATAGACTTACATTACCGTACGCTTACAAATGCCCCCCCCCCCAAAAAAAAACACCGATCAACCAGACGGTGATTTGTGGTGACAGGGTTCAGCGAAAATACATGTCAAGGTGAAATAACCGAGAAATATACCACCATTGCCTTTATGGAGCTACGCTTTTTTGTTTTAACTGAATTGGTACAGGACGGCAAATCTTTCCGGCACGCGTCACACAGAAAGTGTTAATGATGCGTTAAATGTGTTAGTAATACATAACCTATATAGTGTTGATGCGAACCAATAGTTTATTTTACATCTGTTAACAATTGATATACCAATATTGATGTATCTGTCTGCTATACCACTAGGACATCTGAAAAAGCACGATGCAGTGAGGTTCGGTCAAAATTTTATATTCTTACACTTACATTGTAGACTTACATTATCAGTAATGTATGTACAGTTAGGTTTGATAACAGTGTACACTTACATTCTCAGTAACGTATGTACAGTTAGATTTGATAACAGTGTACACTTACTTTATCAGTAACGTATGTACAGTTAGGTTTGATAACAGTGTACACTTACATTATCAGTAATGCATGTACAGTTAGGTTTGATAACAGTGTACACTTACATTATCAGTAACGTATGT